AGTCCGCGATTAACTAACACTTCGCCATCGTCTCTAACGTGGAACAATACTAGGGCTTTTTCACCACGAATTGGTGCATTTCTTTATTTAAGTTAGATTTTTGTAATATATATACGCTCCTAGACCAACTATCTAATGTTTTAATGTCTAAGACAGGAGCTAGACTTTCTTATCAAACTTCTATACATGGTGTTCGGCCACCCCTGGGAAAAATTTTAATGACGGATTCTAGAGGCCAAAATAAGACAAAAATCAAGAATACCAATTTGTTGATGGAAGCTGCGTTAAAAAGTTATTAACGTTTAAAGTGCCGCCCTTACTGAATTTTTTTCTCGAAAATGCGCAAGATTTCGGAGGTATGTCTATTCACCAAAAATAATTGTAATTGACCCCTTTAGGTAAAAATAATTTTTTCAGAACGATTTGAAATTTTTTTTTTCGTCGAAAAATTTGACCACTTACTGAATTTTTTTCTCGAAAATGGATAGGAATTCGAGGGTATCTCTATTGACCTAAAATGATTATAATTAACTGTTCTAGCAAAACATATTTTTTTTAGAACGATTTGAAATTCTTTTTTTCGTCGAAAAATTTCATAGCTTCTCGAATTTTTGTCTCGAAAGTGGATAGGATTTCGAGGGTATGTCTATTCACAAAAAATGATTGTAATTAACTGTTCTAGCAGAACATATTTTTTTTAGAACGATTTGAAATTTTTGAACTTTGTCGAAAAATTTCATACCTTCTCGAATTTTTTTCTTCGAAAACGCGTAGGAATTTGGGGATACGTCTATTCACCAAAAATGGTTGTAATTAACTGTCCTAGCAAAAGATATTTTTTTTAGAACGATTTGAAATTTTTGAATTTTGTCGAAAAATGTCATACCTTCTCGAATTTTTTTCTTCGAAAACGCGTAGGAATTTGGGGATACGTCTATTCACCAAAAATGATTGTAATTAACTGTCCTAGCAAAGGATATTTTTTTTAGAACGATTTGACATTTTTTTTTTCATCGAAAAATTGTATTCCTTCTCGAATTTTTTTCTTGAAAACGCGTCGGAATTCCGGAGTATGTCTATTCACCAAAAATGATTGTAATTAGCTCTCCTAGCTAAAAATAATTTTTCCAGAACGATTTGAAATTTCAGAAGAGATAAAATAATGCATCTAACGTGAATTTTTTTATGGAGTTTTTGGAACGAAAGGGAGGATATTTGGAATTTGACGTTAAACGGTTGACAGAAAAATGATGATGCCTGTGGAAAACTGTGCTGGAGATTCGCGTCGTAAATGGTTAGCGTGAACCGCGCCTGAGATTTGGAAAAACTCTTTGGAATAAGCGTTCCGTGGAAGGGAAAAGGGTGGATATAGGTGGAAGAAGAACGTTTCTACGAGGGAGCAAGAGAGGGATAAAAGCGGCGGAGAATTGCGAAATGCTTGGCCCGCATTCGCGGTAGTTCCAGTCCCGTCCATTGTCCGCTCGCACAATGGGAATCTTTCTACCGACGCTTGTTGCTCCGATGGTGGCTGACTAAACTTTACCCGTCGACCACGTGCATCCTGCACACCCCACAATTTCGCGCACAAACGGACAAGCATACAGAGGTACAACAGAGGAAAAAGGAGGCAGAAATACGTAGAGACAGACGTGTCAGTCGGTGTCCCTACAAGCACAGTGGGATTCGTCTGGGGATAGGTCAATCAATGACCTATTTAAACCGCCTTCGGTACGACCTCGTGCAATCTACCACTACCGCCATCCTATCCTGAACGACGCATCGAATCTACAGTAGCTGGCAAAAGTTTAAGACTGCTACCTTTTCCATTGATAATCCTACGATATCACGGGATACCGAACAACCAACAGTTTTGGTCTTACAATCCCACGCTCGACCTAACTTCTGAAACTTAAACGGTAGTTCGGATCACGACAATGAAACTTTCGACGTTTGTTAAGACGAACGATTAACGCGTTCACTGCCAGACCAATCCCACACCGAACCCCCTAAACTGTCGTTACCATTGCTTTTGGACAATTGGAAATTAGCACAAGCATTATTTGTCACAGAACTTATTTTCACAGTCTCGTTAAAATTCTAGACTCATTAGTTTCTTTAACACTTAATCTTGAGAATTAATTTTTCGATGAAAATTTATTACTCATACTCAGAAATCATTGAAAATCAAGAAAAATATGTTATTGGAAAATCTGAGAGTTTGTTTCTCTATTTTCTATTTTTTTTTTTTTAAATAAATCGAACGAAGTGCAAGAAACATTGTTTGTTGATAATAAATATTACATTTAAAAAACCGTGTATCTCTCTGCGACAATTGCAAAAGATAAAAATAAATTTCATACTGATTGCCCATTTCTATTACGAATAACGCGTAAAAATACTGATTCGGTGATCGATTATGCTGCACGTAGCAAAAAGATCAACATGGGTATAATTCGTTAGCTTGAAAATGGTTTTTTTTTTCTCCATTTAAATATATTTGCCCGTTCCGTCAGTGAAAAGCGTAATTTGTTGCAGCAAGCCTCAGAGAATGGTTGCGGCTGTGTGTAATTTAAATCACAATGTTTAAATAAGAGATGTTTAACGCGCGATTATCGCAACACATTTCCAGCGTATTTCTTGCACGTGGTGATGTTTTCACTTGAATATTTTACTCGGATATTTTCACAAATTGTACCTGCATAAACATCCGCGGTCTATTTGTTGCTATCTTTTATTCGTTACCACGCGTAACCTTGATCATTATTATGTTATATGTAGGTAGATTCGTCGTAATAGCCACTTTTAGACGTTACAAGCGAACCTACACCGTGTAAATAGAAAAAATTATCATCACCCTTCGGTAATTCGACGTTTTATATCGGAAAACCGCCGTTAGGTCATCGCGTCTCTTGTAAAAATAGCGTAAACCCGTTCCTCTCCTCAATTTCTTTTCTACGCCGTTACGCTTACGGATTGAGGATGCTGAGTACCAACAACATAAACACCCGGTATGTCTGTCGAGGCATTGATAATCTCAAGAAACTAGTGAATGATTTATCAGATCGCAAATTGCGCGCCTACATCAACCACTATGCAACTATATTACAACTGTAACATAATCTGTAAAATATTTCGTGAAAACTTAAATCACTATAGAAAAAAATATCTAAATTGAACGATCGAACTGTATATATTGTATAAATAAACATAGGGAAACGTGTTATTATAAACACGAGTTTAAAAATAATGGATTTAATCTCCCAAGCGAAATTATTCATTTATTAATAAAGTACGGAACTTATGTTTACGTAAAATGTGGTTTCCTTTATGTTTGCTCATAATATATCGACACAGTTTAATTGTTTAATCAAGAATATCCCGTATATCGCCAACGCGTGGGAACCATTTAAATGATTTAATTAAATTTTCTGCCTGCGATACGACTCGACTGTTTTATTCATTTGGAGAGTTTTTAATTAGTAATAAATGGCTATTTTTTAAAAAATAATAATACGTCCATAAATTCGTTGTTAAGAAATTCTAACGAAATTGCATCCTCTTAAGGAAGCCATTCGCTAATAAGTTTTGCGAAGGAGCAAAATGATGTACGATGTTAATACCTTTCTACGTTCTCTAAATAGAGTTTCAAGATACTTGCAGCCGACAAGAAGCACGACAAGCACGTTGGAGAATTTTCAAAATGATTTATGATTCTTAAAGACGATTCTTTCAGTTTCGATTAATTGCTGAGAAATTCTAGCGAACGTGCAACGTGATTCAACGTCTATTAGGGAACACTTGGTAATATTTTCTAGCTCCGGAATTTCTGGCACATAAACCGTATACAAAATTCGTATCCGCGTATCAACGATTGGGAAAATATTTTTGGCATTTTTAACACCGCGATCCGTCGCTCGGAACAAAACGAAACGAAACTAAAATTAAGCTCGCTATACAATGTACAGTTTAACGCCGCAAACACGTACCAAACTACACGTTTCGTGTCACACTTTACGTCTCCCGTATCGAACCGAAGGAAACAGAGTTCTATTCTTTATACCAGTTACAACTTCTTAAGAAAGTATTTACGAACTTTTATCGCACGTTTTAATCTCGTCTTTACTTGCAAAACTCGCCGACAAAGCGTCGGAAGTTCATCGATTCTCGGATCTTTGAAACACGCGTACTTCATCGACGAGCTGAACGAATGTCGAATTTTACCGGGAGGAATTCACCCGAACACGCTGGATTTTATGCTTGCGCCACGACCATAAATTCCGAACGGTGTTGTACGCGAGAATATCGCGTCGGATATACCTAGGTGGAAACTTACCTATTCCGGCACGCGAGGTGGTACAATTTTGACACGAAACCATAAATCACTACTATGCGTATACACTAACGGATAAAAGTTTTCGACGAATACTTTCTTTGTAGATCTATCGCACGATATTGCTCATACAATTCGTGTTTGGGGTTTACAAAATTGTGGATGATTGTTGGGACTATCACTATGATTCTTTTGAATGCTAACATAATATATTCAATTTACAATATTTAAAATTTGGAGAAACTAGGTCCACAGGCAAGATGGTTCGACTACAGAGAAAAATGGCCCAAAACACCATTATTTATCCAAATAAGACCATTCTCAGACTGTTCGTATACAGTGAAATCTGAGATATAAACAATTTAGACAGTATAAAAGTTTGGTAGCAAATAATAAATTCGAAGTCCAATAATTGCAAGAATGGAATACATCTTTTAGAACGAATCTAGTGAAAGAGTGACAATTTGCTAGCAACAAGAGAGTCTAATGTTGGACTACTGTTGGGTATGATATAGCAATCTAGGAAGAAGGTAATCGTCTAGAGCTTTTGTCGGTTACTGTACCGATCCATGGGCCGCGAGGAAGCTCCGTGCACGAGCTGGTCGGGACAGAAATATTAATATCACCGTTTCTAAACGACAAAGTCGTCGGTTCCGTTCCAAAAGGATATGGATTAGTGATGAGCGCCAGACACCAGTTGCGCGGTCGTGTACTCTGATCGAGGTATCGCATAACAACCGGCACGAAACCAGGATAGGGTAGCTCGTCGCCCTCTTCCTCGTCGTCCTCTTCGTCCTCGTCGTCCTCATCGTCCTCGTCGTCATCGTCGTCATCGTCCTCCTCGTCTTCTTGGTCCTCGTCGTCCTCCCGTTTGGCGACGACGCGTTTCACGATCGACTGGCCGCCCCCGTCCTCGTCCTCGTCGTCCTCGAGATCGCTGAGTTCGGCCACGTCGCTGTCGGAGCCCTGTTCGCTGTTACCTGTTCCAGCAGCCTTCGCCGCGGATCGGTACCGATATCCTTGCGGGTAGTGCAACGACATGCTTCTCGAGACACGGTCCGTGCGAGAAAACGAAGGAGGTTCGGCTCAACGTCGATCGAGCCGGTCGGGCGATATCCAGAAACGCACGGTGGCAGATTTATCACGAGGCAGATGCTCCCTGAGCGGTTTCGACAACTCTGACGTCGTTGCTCCAAGCGACGAGACCAGCCGCGACGGTAAAACCGACATCGAGGACCCGTATCCCGGTCGTCTCGACTATCACTCCGATACCTCTGGCGACACGAACACGTTGCTCCCCGTACGCTCTACCGGTAGAGGCATTTACCGAGGCTCTGTCCACGGTCTCGGGATCGAAGAAGTCGTCGCACGTCCACTGGCCGCATTTTACGCTGGAGCGGCAACGGTGAAATCCAGGTGCGTGGCCTCGCGGTACGCGCTTGCCCAGTTTCTCACCTGCAGTTCTCACCTTTTGGTGCCCTCTTACTCGGTGTCGGTCGGTCCGGAGCTCACCTGCTACCAGGTTCGTTCGCGGTGTGGCGGACGCGACCGAGCGGCGGTTCCTCGATATCGGGCCACATCTAGCACCGAGACTGGTACAAGCTACCACGGGGTTTTTCACCTGGCTGTCGAAGCCCTCGACGAGACAGGGGAGACCGTTGGTCACCAAGATGGGGAATGCGAAACGCGTGAGCGGCGCGTGGTTTGTCGCGTGGCACCCTCCCCCCGTTAAATTATGGGATTTTGTCCGGGGACTGGGCCACCCGCGGAATATTTATCCCCCCGTTCGTTTCGCAACGCTTGCACACAGATCGTTCCCGGTACACGTACGTCCGCTCGAATTAGAAAAATCTTCCCGGAGGAAATGTACGCGATGTACCGCGGACTCGTATCAATTAACCGAGAACGTACGCGTCGACGGTGCCCGGTGCAGCGTCGACCGGTGACTGAAAAAAACGTCGAACATCCTTGTCGACAAAACTGAACGCATGCGCGACCCCTCCGTCCGTACCTCCCTCGCTCATCCGCTTCATGACCTCCTGCATCCTCCCTCGAAAAGATCTGGAGATCCTCCTACTCCACTGTCCTCCTCCTCCTCTTCCTCTTCCACTTCCACTTCCTCTTCCTCTTCCTCATCCTCTCCTCCTCATTGCTCTGCCCCTTCGTTCCGTGTATCTTTGCACGCGTCCTCGAACCAAAACGAAAAGGAACCAGAACCAGAACCAGCCAGAAACTGTCTTCTCAAGATTCTCGAGATCTTCTCGCTTTCGTTTTCGTTCCCGTTAAACTCTACCAACGGTGCTTTCTTTTCTCTCTCCTTCAAGGTGACTTGTTTCGCGTCGAATGCAATCGCGATTTCGCTCGTAAAACCTTACGACCACGGTCGATTACAAATTCTCTTCCACGGGAACAAGTTCGTTGATGAACCATTGTCTGTACACGAGTCGAGGTCTGGGCTTGGAAGAGGATCGTCGAAAAATGTCTCTCGACGTACAAAAGATTTCTCGTCTGTATGAGTTAAGGAAAAATTAGTTAGTGGACAGAATATAATAATAATAATAATTCTTTGTTTAACAGATTGATTCTCCTTTGTACAAAGGAAAAGAAAATACAGAATTAAACTGCTTGCACCACTTACCATAATAATAATAATAATTCCTTATTTAACACGTTGATTCTCCTTTGTACAAGTTTACAAAAGAAAATTTAAACTATTTCCACCACCAGATTATACAGAGGAAACTCAGAGGATATATTCCATGCAAAAAATCTAAATTTTAAACAACCATAAATTTAGTCTCGTATCCTCGATACATAATGTTTTAATGTACAATTATTAACTAACAATTTTAGATGAACGTGTCTAGCTTACAGAGGTGGAATATCTACGGTTTCCTAAATCTGAAATTCGAGAGATCTCGTTCCGGGCTTCCTTCCCACTTTCTCCTCTCGCCCTCTCTTTCATCCTCTCTTTTCCTCTAGTGGTTTATATACTGCGTCTATTTTCGGTTGGAATTCAACGCGAGATTTTGCGGTAGGTACCGCACTACATCGCTCTCGACAAAAGTCTGTCGATGATCAAAAACCAATACTCGGGGAAAAATTATGCTGGCTCGATTCGAGATTGTAAACGTATTCTGTCATGGACCTAAATGGACTCGCGAGCCTCACCCAAAAATATCAAATATTTCAAACGAACGGGCACCACGCATTATTAGCTTCGAATAAATAATTTTTACTTCAACATCTTCGCTTTATTAAACAAAAAATAAAGTATTTACAATCGTATGTAACAAGTATTGGTTTCCTCGCTCTAGAGGTAACGATCGAATCTTTTATTATACAGTGCAGGTTGTAACGCATAGTTTAGTAAAATTTACTACACTTTACGATATGCGTAACGTACTACGGAAAAACATGCTCGCGTAAACGACATATAGATAATATTGTTTTCCTATTAGCGTAACGGATCTTTCTTCAAGAGGACTAAAGAACAGTTCAAACATCTACAAGGTTAAGTTGTTCGTTGACGAAATGTCGCTGCTCCTCTAGCATTACTACTAATCGTTCGGGATCCGTGACAGGTAAAGAGCACGTATGATGTCGACAAACATAAGCCGTTGCTCTACCATCCAAAGGCTTCATCCTGCTGAGATGTTCGTTCTTACGGAATAATATATTACTAGACTCATTGTGATCGACCAAGAAAAGAGTCTTGCCAGGTATTAGACGGTCGTACACGACGCGAAGTAAGTCGTTGGTGTCCCTCGCCCCTCGTTTCCCAGCGATATAAATCTAAAAAGCAAAATTCACATATGCTAGCATCCAGAGTTTATCAAGCTTCTAAATATACTTAGAAGCGGAGGTCACTGATTTCGTTCAAATCTTTTCTAGTAATTCTAAAGCAAAAATAAGTAGACATCGGAATAACCTGTGCCAATGCTCGACCGAACGGAGGATGGATTTTATGGTTACAAATAAGAAATAATTTAATGTCGGTCCATTAATCACTGGTTCTACTTACGTTGAAGTTCATTTCGTGTTCTATTGCACGTATACACTATGAATTTTCAAAGTCTGTATGTATTTTTACACATAGAATCACTTGTCAGGTTATACTGGAGAAGGAAACTTTTTATAAACGGTAAAAGAAAATTAATATACGTATAATAAAATTTAGTTAATTCTGTATAATAAAGGCTGCAAAGCTCAACAAAAAGACAGACGTACAAAATATTAACAGTGGGACCGTAAATGTAGAAAATGTTATTAAACTTACCTCTGCCCGACTAATTTCTTTGCACGTTGCCATTCTTTCAAATAAGACGCATGTCTCCTCGTTCTTATGCACGATTTTCTTGTTTAGGTTAATTTACGAAAAATTCATTGCTGTGTAAGACGTAGTTTTTAAACTTTCTTCTCTCGATCGTTAAATGCGCATGTCGCGCACTTTTACGAAACGTTTCACATATTTTCGTGATCCATGCCACCCGAGTCATTGTAAAAAATAAGTAAGCGAACAAATAAAACACAAAAATGAAAAAGAACTTTGGGATATCAATCTACTACGATTAACCTTGAAGTACTTATTGCGTTTCCACGAGAGGACAAAGCGTGTTTACGTCTCCGCTCCTGTTGCAGGCCACTGACTCACAGGTATTGGTCGAAAATGGCGACGAATACGGGTGACAGCCAATCAGCGGGCTGCAGCAAGAGTGGGGATACAAACACGCTGTGTCTTTCTCTCGCGGAAGGACGACAACTACGGTATGTGCTAGAGCCTATGATTTTGAACGTTAACAAATTAAAAATTCGTATTCTGTAATTATGACACATTAATTACACGGATACCCGTATCTTTTACTATCCGTGAAATAGATACCCATGATATATTAATGTTAACTATCTTCTCGGATATGTGTCTGGTTATTAACGATCTAGAATCGCCGGAAGTAGTTTGAATAAATCGTTGACCCCACAGATGCGACCTCTCCTCGTTAGTACATGAACAAATTTCATACCTGCGTTGCATCATCGTGATAGCGTACAAGCGCCAATGCTAGTTGTGGAACCGCGATGGGTCTTTGCACCAGTAATTGTCTAAATGCTCCAAAAAGACGGACGGCTTTATCCTTGAGTTCGTTGCGACCTAAGTAGTCCGCCAGTCTTAGCAAATTTTCGGCGGCAATCGAGTTACCGGATGGTTCTGCTCCATCATGGGCTGCACATAAAATTATATATTTTCCCGAGATACGTGGTCACGTCTTTCTCTTTCATTCAAGTTTTGACCCAGTATCAAAGCCGCGAGCGAAACCACCACAGCCTGATAGACTTAATGGCTGGACGTAATGAAACACTGAGCAGACCGTGCTATAAATATTTGGACACGCTCGGGTTTACTACAGAATGTAGGTTTCCTTGATTTCATAGCTCAACATGACCGCAACCACCACATATACTATACGAAACTGTGAGAATGTTAATCGTCGAGCTAAAATTATCACAAAGGTACTTAAGCATACCTTCCTTGAGTCGGAGAATTACAACGGAATCGTCCGACGTTGTTGAAAAATATCCACCGTTCGTTTCGTCCCAGAAAAGTTTATCTTGAATATCGTGTAATTTTTCGGCAAATTCCAGCCATCGTTCTTGCAAGCTAGCTTCGTACAAGTCCAGCAATCCTTTTACAACGAACGCGTAATCGTCCAGAAAACCGGATATGGGAACACTCCTAAAAATACGACATTAAGAACGCCGTTATATTACATAATTTTCATAATAACGATTTTATACTTACGTCTGTGTAATTGTATCGTTCTCACCGCGGTAACAACTACGAAGTAGCACACCTTTAGTTTCATCAAAGAGATAACGTTCGATAAATTTCGCCGCATCTGTCGCGTATTCGATATATTGTTTATTACCAACTGCCGCTCCTCCACGCGCTAAACCACTTATCATAAGGCCTGGAAATAAAATAATTATCAACGCAAGAATCCTAAAAATCCAAAATACAATAAAAAAAGAAACATTATTCGTAACTGTTTACCATTCCATGCTGTAATAATTTTATCATCCAAATGAGGTCGTGGCCTTACAGACCTAGCTTTGTATAAAATGGAACATGCCTTTTTCAAATGCGTCTTCGTTTCTTCGTTAGTTAGCTTAAAATGTTTAGCAGTGGCTTCGATTCCATTGTACACCATCAATACATTTTTTCCTGTTAATTCGCCATGAGGATCCTAAAACCAAGGAAAATCTAGATCTTTACCTGAATAATTTTAAACGTTCTGTGTGATCTTGATATTTTTAAAATATATAGCATACTTGATACTTTTTTACGTTTCCAGACTCTTTTATGTTGAAGTGATGACAAAAAATATCGGACAATTTAATGTTCTTTCCGTTTGAAATTTCTTCGTCCAAAAGCGTCTTAACTTCCGTAGCAGTCCACACATAAAACGCACCCTCCTTTTTTACTTTTGCATCAGGCGTGGGGTACGAGTCTGCATCTTCAGCACTATAAAAACCCCCTGCCTATAATAAATAAAACTATGTGTATATTGACACAAAGGGTGACAATTTTTGAAAAGCATAAAAACATTATACCTTGTGACGCAGATCTCTTGTTACATAAGTAGCTATGTCATCAACAATTTCAGCAAAAAGAACATCCTTTGTTGCAAGATACGCATCTGCATAGGACTGCATTAACTGTCCCTGATCATATAACATCTTTTCAAAATGAGGGACATGCCACTCACCATCTGTTGCGTACCTTGAAAAACCCTAATTGAAGATATATATTAAGTTACACTTAAAACTTGTTTTCAAATAATATTAATTTGTATTTTCACTGCTATTGTAAATTAGAATTAAAGTAAAGATAAATAAATTTAAATTCTTACCTGACCTACGTGGTCATGAATGCCACCATAGGACATTTTTGTCAAAGTATATACACACATATGCAGGCATTTTTTAGCAAGCTCGTCGTTAGGTCGACGCATATACATGTGAAACAAAAAATTAAAATTCACCGGCTGTGGAAATTTAGGCGATTGCATATAAGCTGATCCGAATCCACCAAATTCAGGTTCAAATTCGTTCGAAAGTTGTTGAATGCATATCTTTCTACACTCCAACGAAGGCACTTCGTGTGTCTACATAAAAAAAAATTGCTAAGCAATAATAGATATAATTCTATTACCAAAAGCAAAATATAAAATAGATGCAAAAATTTATCATTCGTTGCCTCACCTTTGACGTGTATGAAAGTTCAGAAATATTTCTTAATGTTTTCAGATTATGGGCGCCAGTTTCTACCATTGTAGATCTAAGTCGTTTCCACTATAAACCGTGAAAAGAAAAGGTTACACTTTACACATTTCCCATGCAATGTATCTATAAATTCTAAATTCAAGACTCAAGTACCCATTCATCCCTAATAAATTCCAAAAATAAAATATACGAAATGTATATTAATATCGTATACATATACTCTTCCATCTTATTATTAATAAATTAACCTTCCGTGTTCAGACCTTTTGAGCAATATTGAGCAAGATCGTCTTAAATCCAGTTTGTCTGGATGTATCTTCCGGAGGAAAGTATGTTCCACCAATTATGGGTGTTAAATCAGGGACAAGAAATACGCTCATTGGCCAACCACCATGACCAGTCATTGCCTATATTAAATATTAGTTTTTAATTTGGAACTATTTGATAATTACTATCGTCTCTTACACAGGGATACTGAATACTAGCTACCTGTACGAAAGTCATGTATATCTTATCGATATCTGGCCTTTCTTCTCTGTCTACTTTTATATTAACAAAATTCTTATTCATTATCTCAGCAATTTCCTTATTTTTGAAAGACTCTTTCTCCATAACATGACACCAATGGCACGTAGAGTATCCAACGGATAAAAAAATCAATTTATTCTCTTCCTTTGCCTTCTTTAAGGCTTCGTCGCACCATGGATACCAATCGACCGGATTAGTGGCATGTTGTTTCAAATAAGGAGATTTTTCCAAAGCAAGTCTATTAGTTGTCTCTTTTTGATCGCTCTTAGAGTTACTAGTCGAAGCCATATTTGTAGAAAAACACAGAAAAGTCAATGACTTATCTTGTATCCTATAAAATTGATTATTTACTTATTTATACAGTCGACTTTTATCCAGACCTTTATTAGTCTTGTAGACATAACAATTAAAAAGGAAAGATTTCTAATCGATATATAATCAAAATAACAACATAAAATTCTGCAAAGCAAGGAATGAAATATTTTTATAGACAGTTTCATATATAATTAAAAATTAAAAAACAATGCTGTTTTGTTTCTAAAAAAATACCTAATATATGCAAATATTAAAGTGATGAGACACTTTTGTGTATTATTTTTTATTCGATATTAAAATATACATTGAAATCAACAAGATACAAAGGGTTCCTTTTGAATGATAAAAACAGTCGTAAAAATTAAATAAATTTACATTAGAATGTACTACCTGTCTAGCCAATGTACACCGATTGATAAGGAAGAACCTTGAAGTAAATATAATTTCGCGCCTCGATTCTGACCGCACTGCTGTTTAGATAATTCGGATGTGTAGCGAAATATTGACAAAAGACAGCATCTTCCCAGTGTCATAACAAATTTGGCATGGAATTATATCTAATGGAAATTGAAGTTTTAATTACTGCTACTGTAAAAGACAAACGTTTGATATCGTAAATTTATTCGAACGAAACGTTTAACTATCGACATGTAAAACCCCATTAAAGAGCTTATTTAAAAATGTCAATTTAAAACGAAAACTATTTGTTATTCGTTACAAAAAAATTTTATATCCAATCTTTAACCAATTTACATAAATGTTATTTTAATAAATAAATGTAAAATACTATTTTACATCATATACATTTACACTCTTTCTACTTTTAAAAATAATTCGTAAAATTAATCGCGTTTGCGAAAACCACTAAAATCGAATAGAAAAGATACAACAGTAGACGTAATATGAGAAATTATGCAACAATAGGTTATCGACAATGACATTTAAAACGAAAATAATTTCTCTGTAACAAACGAAAGCAGATCAGAATAGAGTTTATTTAAAATTTCTTTACAATTGATTAACTTACGTTTATTAAATTAAAATTAACATTTTAATAGTACGCTTGATGAGCATTCAAGTAAAAAAGTGGATAAATTTATACGCACACGATTAATCACGTTCTGCATGTGTTTATTTACATGTGTAACAAAGAGAACATGGTAAACTAGTACACTGTGTGGTATGCAAATAAAAATATGAAAATGGCGGAAACTTTTGGCATGCCCGATAAATTTGCCGTCTAGCGTAAACCTATTGCTCCAAATATGTAGATAAAATATGATATGATAATGAGAAACAAAACAACCAGTATAAAGAGTATTACATTTATCAAAGAAATCTATTTTATTTGAGACAGATGTACCTAATGAAATAACAAATTTGTCCTCTGCCCGAACATTCACTTTTGAATACGCATGAGCAGACTTCAGTTATGCTCCATCACCGTAAGATGGCGAAATGCTAGTTGAAATTTTAGTTCAAATTGAACTTCAAAAGTAATGATTTTACCTTGATTTCCGAATGTTCGTTAACATTTCTATAAAGAAATGGTACACGTATCTTTGGTGCGGGTACTCGGCCAATGCAAACAAAAACAATTCGACAAAGACAAACTAACACTCGCCTTTTTTCGTGGGAGTCAAGAGAGAAAGGCTCATGTTTGCCTTCTCGCTCTTGAGCAACTGAAATCCGTGACGGGTACGCCGTCTGGTAACACTCATTGGACCAATGATTGGCCAAATGCGCATCCCTCCTGCGCATAAAAGTAGAAGTGAAACATAAAACCGATGATTCTATCGTTTCTACGTGAACGGTATTATTTTTTAAGGATAGCGTTCATATTTATGTCTAATTTTGAATTATTTTAATAATAATAAAACTGTAAACGTGATTTATTCAGTTAGTGTTTTATTGTAAAAATATGAATTTGCCAAGGTTCTCTTCCGGTATGAATCGAATATATTAGTTGTTAATCTATGATAAAATTAATTGAAGTTATATAATAATGAAATATTCCTAAACAATATAAGTTGTAAAATAGATAGTGAATTAAATCAATTCAATAAACTTGGAATTCTGTGAATTAGGTCAATGATGTATATTATATTTAATGTAAATATTTGTTTTGTTATATAGAAAATTCTTAATTATATAAGCTTTACGCTTTAAATTCAACTTCTCGTTTATTCTAATCCAAGCATATGAAATTATCGTCAACTGTATAACTCTCATATTATACTTGTACATAATTATGAATTCCATATCTAATTGCTGTTAAATAAGTAATTCATATATATCTTTGTATTGTATACAATAAAATTATTCAATTGTATTTTTATTACAAGAGCTTAAGAAAACAAGTTTTTAGACAAATTTGAATTTGATATGCAAAACCTGTATTCTCACTGCATTCAAACAACTTATATCCTAAGGAATAAAGTATTTTGCATATTTTTTGGGGCTGTTTGTAATTCTTATTAAAATAATTCATATACAAAAAATTAAACATGTTTCTGTTTTAGTAAGAGATAAACCTAATTATTATGCTAAACCAGAAGGAACGGATCCTTTCCAAAAACTTAGAGCTGTCACAGCAATAACTTTCAAATCATCTGTATTATTTGCATTGTATGATGCATATTTGGTTTGCCGAGCTCCAACAATGCATCAAGCTGCAATCAATGCGGCACGTATAATATTACCAATAAATTTTGGAGCTCTATATTTGACATCTGCTATATACATATCAACACGTATAAGAGAAACAGATGATTTAGGAAATTATGCTATTGGTGGTATGTAAATATATTCCCCATATATATTGTATTACATATAATTAATATATTCATTGTCCATTGATCTACATGTTATCTAACAAGTTTCGATTCAGGAATCTGTTGAATATAGGACTACCATCTGTTCAATTAATCTAACTTTCTATCGCTTCGTATAATGATTTAATTTTTCATCGGACTAAAAATAATGTGTATTAAATAGATAATTTTACTTTCAGCGATCGCTACTGGTCCGGTAATTCATAGGATACTCAAATGTCCCTTCTTCAATACCGTACAACTGACGATACTACTTGCATTTTGCGCAGTGAGCTACAAGGGATTACAAGAAGACGGACAGTCTGGATATTCATTAGGTAATCGCTGGGCTGGTAGCACTATGCAACACTATGAATAGGATGATTATTAAAACAATCAGTGGAATATTGTACTAGTTTATTTGTAATACTATAGAATTCATGATTAAAATATAATATATACAATTATTGTCTTTAATGTTTATTTATTACTATATAATTCCAATACATACAAAAATCTTGAAACTAAAAATAGTTGTTTAGCCAATATTTAATTTACGTTAATGTTTCTCCTTTTGTAACCTGTGCAAGTAATAATTATACTCGTAAATTACAGTTATATTATAAATGCAGATAAGTTTATGTCAATGTTTATAAATTTGATATTCATCACATTATGCAATTAAATTATGAATAATGACTTACACATGCTTCGAGATACTCTATTCTTCTTTCAAGTGTAGTGAGTTTTTCATTAAGAAAAGCTATCCGTGATCTGCAGGACATATCTAATGAAATAAAGTATGTAGTTTTATTACTTTATTTTATATCCAGATGGTTCGCTTAATAATTTAATCGAATTACCAAAGGAATTAAGAAACTCGGTTATTTTCTTAATGCTACCAGTTATAACTTCGATATATTCTCGATTTGCCCAATCTTGTTGAATTTGCTTTTGTATAGCTTCCCGATGTACAGCGGCCATTTTTGACACTATGTTTAAGCAGTGCAACTGACGCGTTATGTTATTTCTGAAAATATGTATGTATTAAATGTCAAAACAATTATAACACGGAACATACTATTTATCAACAGTTGTCATTGCGGCTCTTTAAATTTGAGTTCTTTAGTTGAAAAATCCATATAAAAAACGGATTCTTCCAAACATAAAATTTAAAATCATGATTACTGTATAGGTAACGCACAAAAATTTAGCGGCCAAATGATCAATTTATGCATATTCTAAAGGAATACATGCAAACACACCTGATTTTATACAATCATCTACAATAATTTGTAGGGGACACTAGAGACATTTCCCTAGCGCCTAGGGAAAGTCCCTAGATGGAGTTGGCGTGGCAGCCGTGTAGAGCGCCACGCTACGACAGTCGGAATAAAGCTCTGAGACAAGGAACACGTGTCGTATTGATATTCCCGTTATCCCTACGCATCCCTATAAATTCGTGCCGTCTAAGGGAAAAATCACCAACATCGCTGGTAAAGAGCATAATTGTTCCCTATACGCGTCGCATCTAGTAACATCTAGTAACACTGTTAGCTATGCTCGATTTTGCATCATAGTTACTTCTGGCATACAATCTTGAATTGACGTTACAGATATATTGTTATATAAATATCCAGAATAGCTATCATTTTGAGCATATAATTGCACTATTAATTTCATAAAATGTTACGTTTAATTCTAAATAAAATTTTAACACAGGTACGTATAACAATTATCAATGAGTTGATCTGTTTGTACAAAAATGTTTTAATTTTATTTCCCTCTTATTAAATTGCTCTATTGCTTTAAAAATGATAAATTAATTATTTTAGAAAGGAGAATTAACGCAATTACGATTTCTATGTACAAAAACGAGCAAGCAATCTGCAATGAATTCAAACGTTCCTGGACTGAGTGACAAATGCGTTAAAGTTCCAAATGCACGTAAGACACGAATATATTATCATTTGGTAACATTTTTGCACAATTTGTAATAACTTGTGAGAATCTTATATCGAATAATTATAATTTTGTGCACTATAGAATTTAAAAAAAGACTTTATTTTACAGCTGTAGGTCCTGGTGCTGCCAAGGATAAAGAATACAAAAATCCAGAATATTTTTGTTATCACGTAGACAGTTTTGGAGAAGCAGAAGTAGAATTAGAAAAACATAGATTACCAGCACCTTCTAATAAAGTACCTTTTAATCGATAAATAGACTACTTTAATGTTTTTGTTTGTGAAGATTTACGCAAGAGATTAGAATAAATTAAATTAAATAGAAAAATGATTATGACGATGAATAAACTATTAGTAGAAATCACTAATAAAAACTACCAATCTATTCAAGAAAATGTTTTTTCACCACAGTTAAGCGATAAGACAAAAGAAACTAAGGAAAGTAAAAAACAGAAATTGGAAGAAGTTAAAGGTACACAAGCTGAAGACGGTGTTCGCAATGCGCAAACATCTAGCGAAATCCAAATTTGGTGACTAAAGATTTCAATTAAAACGCGATACAAATTATACATTTATTTTTACTTAAGTTTTACGTTTTTGTGTGCTGATATATAATACATTATTACCACGTATAAAAGCATCGCCATATTTGTCTTTTAACTGGCCGTTCACATATTCTTCGGTTTGTTCAAGTGCAATATTCATGTAACCATCGAGACATGCTAAAACACCTATCAAATTTAAACGATATTAATGAAAAAAATGCTTCAGATCTTATTGTAATTTGTTTAAGAATTAAATACAAATGTCACCTCTATAATCTATACCACTATTTAACTTCACAACAACAGGACGACCATGGATCTGTTGAATAAATTGAGATAATGCTTCCTTTCGACTCATCTGTAAATAAATATGCAGTATGAAATGTAAATGTTTATTTATTATGTTTATTAAAATATATTTCTTTTAATATTTCTTTTAGCTTGTACCTCGCATTTGTTAATTATTGTATACAGTGTTTTATTTTTGTTTATAAAATTTAGAACCATACACTATCGTTTCACATTTATAACTAACCAGTGTCATAAACAGTGACCAACAGCTGACAAGAAATGTCCTATCGTTGGTAAATTTTCACAAATCTGGTGAATCTTTCAGAAGCAATAATTTTACAATTAAATTCCCTATTAAAACACGCAACGAGATATCCCTAATTTTATTTATAGTTTCCTCTCATAGTGTAAACCATAATCCGCGGTTATAGTACACCTGCCGACATTCGCGCGCAAATTCTGTTTGGTTTTGCGTATTATTGTGCTAGTCTCATATTTGAATCAATTAAATACTGTCATGTGGGCGACTAATTTAGATAATAGCGTGAGTTTTGAAGGCGGATTTTTGGATAATAGTAAGAAAGCTTCACAAAGTGACCCAAAAACTCGAAGAGTGCAAACTATTGCTCCTGTCATGATACGACATTTACTCACTTACCCTGTGGCCGAGGAAGTAAAAATGTGGAATATTACTACACGTATGTTTTCGATTGTTGGAATAATAAGAAACTTCGAGGAAACAGCAACAAAAATGGCATACGACGTAGAAGATCAGACAGGTTCGGTTTAATATATAAATTTTTGTATTTTATAGTTATTGTTTATTAAGAATATATGAAAATCAATTGTCTTATCTTGTTCAGGTACGATAACTACACTGAAATGGTTAGAAGCAGATAAGAAAGCATCCGGTCTTCTTATGGAGACAAACATATACGTTAACATTATTGGCTTGCTCAGAGAACAGAATGAGAAACGACACTTGCTTATTTTGAAACTAAAACCATTGGTAAATTTGAACGAGTTGACGACTCATCTACTCGAAGTTACTTATTTCATGTTAAAAGCTGAAGCAATGGTGAAAAATGAGTCAGGAAGCAATCAAAAGACTGATACAAATCAAGGATCGAGCGACGATAATCTTTATTACGGAATGTCGAAAGATCAAACACTAGTTTATAGAATTATTCAAGCACAAAATGCTACCGAATCTGGCATCGAAAGATGTGATATTAAAACCCAAGTACCAAGAAAAATGTTAACAGAAGTAGATGGTATATTAGATTTCCTTGTTTCCGAAGGTCACATATACACAACTAGTACTGATGACCATTTTAAAACAACTTAAGTTTATGTATTACCATGGTAAATTTGTAATAAAAGATAGTACTAATACATTTTTTGCATATTTAGTTTAACATCACATCGGAGATAGATATTTAATTTTGTTTTGTTTTCGTTTGCATACTCTTGTATCCTTAAGAATACTATACTATCATTATGATGTAAATATATTTGTATATATACATATGTACATGTAAACATAGGTTAGTTTTGTACTATTATATCTTTTTTCAACATGAGTGTATTTAATTGATTAAATAGCATATATATTTAAGTATTAAATATGTCTTCATATATTCATTATGAAAAATGATAGAATATTCAAAATAAAATTTTTTCCCCCGTATTGCGCTACTCTTCGACAATATGTAAATTACAAATATAGTAATTTTTAAGGTGCTCTCTCACACTATGCCAGATCATGCGTACGTGAGCTCGTAGTGATTCCCCATCACTCCGTTAGACACTATGGAAGTTCGTCGTTACTAGTGTCGCCATTGATGCACTAAATTATGCCAAATCTGGCTACACTGTGTGTGATACCGCATTAAGTATGATCCGGAATCCAGCGTATAGAGATCAGTGCACGCGTGGCGTCTGCTAGCTGTTACAACTAACTTGTCATAGTCGCCTCTTTAGCATCGCGCGGTTTCCTTGACAACAAAGTTACGTTGCGCGAAAGATAGTTTGGAAGGGGAAGCAGGCGGGTGAGGGGCCCCTACGCCGGACAGCGCTGATCGAGACGGAGGAATGTTTGCTCTTTCGGTTTGTTGATTTAAAATTACCATAAAAAGTATCATGGCGTCTAAGGTCAAAGTGGAAAATATTGTTAACGAACGTCGATTACGTCCTATATATGGTACGTATACTATTGGTATCTTTATTTACGATACAAAGTTTTAATTTTATAATTTCCATATGAATTTACATTCAATACTTAACCAGTAATGAGGTTATGTAACATTACCACATTATGCACTCTAGATTGGTTGGATAATGGAAATAATAAGAAAGCTCTTCAAGAGGCAGATAAGGTCCTTAAGAAACACTCGAGTAATCAGTGTGCAAAAGTATTGAAAGCTCTAGCTTTATTGCGGCTGGGAAATGAAACGAAGTGTCAAGTTATTATGGATGAGGTACGTTCCGAAGTACCTTGTGAGGATTCTACGCTGCAAGTTATGAGCATTTGTTATAGAGAGATACATCAACGTGAGTTTAAATCATACTCATAGTTTTTTTCACATACATATTATGTTTATCGTATGTAATAAGATATATAACTTTGATAAATATTTACTTTGCTCTAAAACTGTGTATTTTATGGGGGTATTATAAAAAGAGACTATATTTTAGCATTGAAAGAGATATAGATTGAAGGAGAATGACAAAGTAAAGGGCTTTTTTGAAAAAACCTCTTAAAACTAAACAGGTTTAGGACAAAGCTTATAAAATAAATATTTACCATAACTTTGGACGTGCTTATTTGTAGCAAATAAAATTAGCGAAGTATACGAGGCTGCGGTAAATGCAAATCCAAACAATGAGGAATTATTGACTCATCTCTTTATGTCGTATGTACGTCTTGGAAATTATAAAAAGCAACGAGAAACAGCACTTGCCTTGTATAAACGAAAACCAAAAAATCCTTATTATTTTTGGGCTGTGATGAGCGTAGTTATGCAGGCTACGCATGAAGATGAGGAGATAGCAAAAGAAATTACTTTGCCTTTAGCAGAAAGAATGGTATGTAAATTAATGTGAAAGTATTACATAATAAATAAGTCTTTTCGTAAACAATTTTAATAAATTAATGAAAACAAGGTATTGAAAGTAATTAAAGAGGGGAAAATGGAAGCAGAACCGGAAATCCAACTTTATTTAATGATATTGGAGCTTCAAGATAAAAACGAAGAAATGTTAAATGTTTTATCTGGACCCTTAGCCTCACATATTTCACCTGTTCCACAACGCAAAGCAGCCCTTTTACTAAGGTTGGAACGTTTTGCCGAAGCTGCTAACGCGTATAAGGAACTTATCAATGAAAAGTGAGTATAATTCAGTGTATATTTTTCTAGTAATAATTAGAAGTGTGCAAGAAATCGGATTGGGACGGGTTTCCAAGCTTTCCAAAAATCAGTATCTCCGGGTGAATTAGGATCCTCGACAATGTTCAAGATCTTACTTTAGTAACTAAAGTAAATGCCATTAAACGGGATTGATTGTTTTTGTTATTTCAGGCGAACTGCTAACAAAAATAACATTGTTGTTATTGCTTTATTTATTTTCCCGACATATTCGGGTTCTTGCACACCTCTTGTAATAATATTCTAATATTACACATTTTTTGTGTATTGTAAGTAGCGTAGACAACTGGGCGTATTATCAAGACTATCTTTCTGCTGCTCTTAAATATCAAAAACCAGAAGAGTGTTTAGATTTCTTTAATAAGATTATAAATACATCAGAAAGAAAGGTCAGAGCTCCGTATCTTGCAAAGTTTGAATTACTCAAGCGCACACAAAGCAAAGGGATTATTGAAAATGCTTCTAAACCGATAGGTTTAATGCATAAATATTTCTCACAATTCGGAGAAAAAGGCTGTGTAGTTGGAGATTTGCGTCTGTATTTAGATTTATTAACTCCTACAGGCAGGTTACTGTTGCTTAAACAAGTAAGTACTAGAAGAATAGAATGTATTCCTCAATGAAACACAACTTATTTATTTGTATGAAATTTTTACTCTTTTAGATAGAAGAAGATATAGGTGTTAAACCAGACGAATTTGCAACTACTGTGCAACAGATGCAGAGACACATTCATTTAGAACAATTACGTCGTATTTGCGGTTTTCATCAGCCTCCATATGTAGACACGAATGGACAATTACAATTAGTAGAACGATTATGTAAATTATATGAAAAGGGTAATGAATTGTGTCCGATCCAAGAAAGATTACAAACAGACTTTTGTCCAGCGGATTATTATATCCTTTTAGCTACGCATTTGTTGCACGAACTATGGTACAGTACCAGTGAACCGTCTTATTTGTACAGGTAATGTTTTATAAGTACGCGTTTGGAAAAGAAATTTATTTACAATACGGTAAAAATATAAATACATTCTTATAGAGCAATGGCGATATTAGAACGTGGTTTATTATCGAGTACTTCAAATTTTCATATAAAAATTTTATTAGTACGAGTATATTTGGAAGCAGGATTAGTAGGTTCAGCAGATCACGTTTTTACATTATTGGACGTTAAACATATTCAATTAGATTCATTGGGTTATTTACACGCACCACTGCTCGCTCCTCTCGGCCATCTTTCATTGGCCTCTACAACTTTAGATCACTCCACTAAATTTTTCATTGCGAATTGCAAGGATGTATGTATTGACATTTCATAAAATTACTTTAAACGGTTAAAAATTCTGTCTAACTTAATTAATTGTGATGCGTGGTCAGAGTGCAGATCATCTAACGTTTGCCTATAAATATGGAAGTTTTGTAAAGATTCAAGAATTTGTGGAGTTGAAAGAACGTTTGGAAAACTCCTTTCACTTTGTTATGACTACTGTAGATAAGATGATCCTGGAATTAAGTTGGTGCGATAGTTGCACATCGTTAATTTCTACTTTAAATAATATGCATATTCAACCCGATGAGGATTCGGTCCGATTAAATTCTTTACGAGATAACCGTGATTTGCAGGTAATACGGTTAATTACTTTTGTAATTTATAATACAAGATATGAAGTTTTAAACAATTAATATGTTGTATTTGATCAGGTTATTCGCGGATGGGAACCGTTGTCAGAAAATGGAAAGGACCCTAGGATGCAAGAAGAAACACGCGTATGCATGTTAAGATTACTCGCAGCAAGGAACTTAATATTGAAAATCTTAGCAGCATGTGCAATGCCTGATACTTCTTCCCTTCTTGTCCGACTGTGTAGTGAATTAAAACAACTAGATACCGAGCAAATACCTTTGATACTTCAAAAATTCGAATCGGAAGGAAAGAAAGACAGATCGTGTAAAATATTGGTTCCTATGGATGCAGTGGAAAGGTTACGCGAAGCCCATTGGTCCGAGCAATTTAAAACAATTGCTCAGCTCGTAGAATCACTGACTCACTCTCATTATCCCGACTTCGAATGTATTCAAATGCTACAAGCGTCTCCATGTCTTCAAACAATAAACATCCCAGAAAAGGACATTCCAGTGTCTTTTAAGCATTTTCTGCTAAGAGCGTCCACGTGTAGTGAATCTCTTGCGATTATTAGTGCCATATGTACTATGTGTGCAACGCGATTACAACCTCAATCCTCGCAAAAGAAAAATAGGAAAAAATACTGCAAAAATATAGAAACTGTTTCTTTGGATGAGAACGATCATGTAAGATAACTTATTGCAGCTTCGTACTGGTTTTTAATAATTATTGTTAATTTTATATTTGATATTTGTTACAGAGTTGGAAAGATGTTTCAATATTACTCACAGAAAGGATTAAGAATTTAAATAGGGTACTAACAGAATTCGAAAAGTTTCAACTACATACGGGACTGAGTAATGATGAAGATGATATACGTACATCTATAATTAAATACGGACAAGTTAGTTTGGGACAAAGTTGCAGGTCATTGAAATCTCGAGCTCAAATCACATTGAAACTTTTAAATAGTCTGAAGAGCTGAAATTGTACGAAAATTCTTGTACAAAAAAATATCCATCCAACTATTTACTGATTTTTTAAACTCGTTCATTTATTGTGTACATTATTCTTAGTCCTAACCAAATAACAAATATCGACTGAATCTTAATTTCATGCTCAACTGGTAAACATTAGTAATTTAATAGTCCTTTTTTTTTTATATCATTTTTTCCTTCATTGTGTTTTTATTGCAACAGTAGTCGATTAACACGAAGTTGCATCGCAAAATAGTTTACGAAATATTTAATGTAAATGCTGCCTTTGTAAAATTTGAGATAATCAACATTTATTACCTGAAGTAAAACACATAAATCGATATTTAAAAATACTTCTTGTTGATTTTTTGGTTACTTTGTCTGTACATATTTGAGACTTAATATATCATTTTCAACATACCTTGAATATTGTTACAATACATTTTCAATAATTTACATAAATCTTTTTTTAAGAGAAAACTGTATCTTGAAGACTGTGTATAAATTGTTTTATAGATGAAACTTACCGCAAATTATATTGAGAATTAAGTTAAAGAAACCTCTGTTTTATATCAAAGCTAAGTAATTATACTTTTCCTCGTACATTGTATATTAATAAATTTATTACTTGTTAAATAATCAGTTAACTAAAGTATATAAAAAACAATGATATATCAATTTTAAGTTATTTCTTGCATAAAAGTATTTATACCATGTTTGATAATATATATTTTCTTTATTTCTAAGATTGATTGAAAGAAGTTGGTTGGAAACTATACTGGAACGACGTAAAATAATTTTTAAATTGCACAATGAAGGAAGAAGTTATTAAAGTACAGTAAAATTAATTAGCAGAAACAAATCCACCGTACAAACATTATCAAAAGAATAGAAATGTTCTTTTATAAATAAACAATGCGTTGAAAGATTCAACATGTTAATTGCTCGAGAGTAGAAGATTTTTATATATCAAGTACAAAAGGATGTTCGTATTCCCGTAATTAGCTATTATATGTATATCAAAGGGTCCAGTCATTTATGATTATAAGTTAAAGCCAAGTTTATAGCGTCATTTGACCATTGTGCGAAAGATATAACCGTGAGATGCTGCCGGTTAACGCAAGTTGGATTTCAGCTGTTTCAAGAGCGAGGAGAGACTCATATTAGTCTTCTTTATCGAGGGACGGTTTCGTTTGAAACCTGTGTTAGTAGGTGAGTTGGTTCTTTTTCAATACTATTGAAAATAACATTGGTACAGTACACTAATCGAATAGGTCGCTAGTCGGTTGTTTTAGAAAATTTTCTAAATATTTGAAATGATTTATTAGATATAAAATTACTAATCCTACTTTTTAGAATGTGACAAAAGCAGCATATTTTTCAATATCAAATCCCTATCTGCATCTAAATTACCAATACACATTCTGAACAAATGAGAAATATTAAATATATTATCGTTATTGCTATATAGCGTAAGGATAAAACAATAACGCCATATCAAAGGCTCTATATCAGTAGACGAATGAAGTAACAACAAAAGTAAATTTCTAACTTTACTCCAATCTCTGTGAATAACATGTGATTTCATTTCAGAAAGAATTGTTTGCTTTGAAAGAGCCACGGAATGATATCTTCCCCTTCTTTTGTAGCAATGCACAATTTTACATTGTTCAGAAGTTCGTTTCAATTTCACTTCCTCTTCTGTTTCCATTTTTCTTTTCACTCCACTTTTTCTATTCAATTGAAGTAATTCAATAGCTTTGTTCTAAAGAAAGATTAAGTTTTTAATGCTTACAAATTACAATGTATGGTTACAATATAGTATTCTGTTGTTACATACCACATTTTTTCTTTTAATTTTCTGCATTTTTATAACTTATTATACATAATACTTAAAAAAATTAAATAAACTAAGAATGTGTACAAATGTATACAACTTGTTTATAAATTTCGAATGGCACATGGCGAATTATCGTTTCCGCCATATTGGATTCCCCCCACCAGCGAACACCATCTCTACCAGAGTGTTTAAATAGTCGCCATTTGCTGATCGAAGTTTGAATTGAACCAATTTGATTTCCGATATGATCTAAGAATATATCGATATTTCCTATTGAGTATTTTTGTACTAAATTAACTGAATGTGATCAGTATCGGTATAAATCCTATCGCTAATCCAGATTATAAGTCGACGAGTGTGTTTCGAGAACAAGAAAAAAAAACTTATGTCCGCCATCTTTCTCGATTTCGTGTTAAACAGAGACGCCATTTTCCTAATGGCGCCGGTCTATCGTCTAACGTTTACGGTGTCCATTTAAGAAGTTTTAGATTAAAATTTTTGGGAAATGTGTCTATGTACATAGAAGTTTTGTTTGAATACGTGATAAATGAAATAATCGAAACAAAACGTCTAAAAAACTTACATTTTTTATTTACATAAATAAAAGTTTGAAATGTTTCTGAGAACTCGTGTTAGTAATTTATTCATTAAGAGGCAAGTGCACGGAAATAAAGAGATAATAGAAAATTGCAAAGAAATTAGAAACCGTAATCCAAGAAATTTAGAACGTTTAAGGATTGCATGGAAACCTATTGGTTATACTTTGGAGAAACCTGGATTTGCGTTTTGGCACAAGTAAAATGGCTATATCGATATAACGTTTGCCCTAACCTTAACAGTGTCTTTTCTGTGCACGTTTTAACACTTTCTTTTTACTGGAAAACCGTAATGTTATTATTGTTTTAATCTAGAAAAATGTGAGGTTACTTTGCTCATGAAACGAATTTGCAAACCGCGATTGCCATATGCAGACACTGTTAAGAAATACTGATAAATTAATATAACTATAATGTTTATAATTAAATTTCATGTAGATTGAACGTGCATACTTCTCAGCGTTATGTTTCCGCGGAAATAGAACATTATAAGAACGGTCCTGTTATTATAGTATCGAGCCAAGAACTGGGTATAAAATCACAATTATACAGGTTCGTGTAAATTTGAAATTAAATTGTATCGTCTGACCATTTTTTAAACACCTTATGTTATTCCGTTAACTTAGAACATAAAAATAATTTTAAAAAGTTAACGAAGTTGTGAACAATATCTTTTAGAACAAAAGATGTGTCGACATACGTATGTGTAGGGCGTGTACTTGCGCAACGTTGTTTGGAATGCGGAATAACTGAGATTTATGTTCCCGAGTACTCTATAACTTCAACTAAAATGAAACTTTTGATCGAGGAATTAGAAAAGAATGAAATTTGTTTGCAAGAACCAAAGAGATACAATCATTGGAATAAATCATATTTCCACCGTGAAGATAAACCTTGGGAATCTTTCGAGTAGTTGTATATATAATGTGTAAAATATAAAAGACCAAACGTGAGTTATAAAATTTGTTCGTATATATTATTTTTAATGGTAATCAACACACTTGATACTATACAATATATGGGTTAGCATAAATGTATTTTGAAGTACCGAAGGTAGATAGTTTAAAGGCATTTTGACATAGAAAATGCATCCTAATGGATTAGCACAGAACAATAACAAGGATTTTGAAATTGCATAGCTATTAATTGTCAGCTGATACTCTTTTAAAAAGGTAAGAGTGTAAGAGGATGGAAAATTACATTTTGTATCGCTAAGAGTAGTGTTTTCTAATAAAAGAATTGAAAAATAATAGTGCACATACTCTGGAATGCAAAAATTTCTCTTATAACAGTTAAAATATATTATTAATTATATGGGATTACGAAAAAATGATTTCCACTTTAGCTGCAATTTGTTTTATTATTTAAACTTTTTAAACTTGAAGTATGTAAGTTTGTACACCATACACTACACAAGGATAGCAATAAATAATCATATCGATATTAAATAAACATCTAACCTATGGCAAATACAGTAAAGTTACAATGTATCAAAACATTAAATATACCTGTGCAGAATTCATTATCACTACACCTTACAATACACTTATTTTATACTAATAAAAAGTAGTTTTCAATAAAGATAATACTGTATTTGTAATTGCATTACAATTCTGAGTAATAGATCATATTGATATAGTTTTAAAAAGTCATAGAATGTTCCGTTCGATCTTGTTAAATGTATGAAATCACAGATCATTTGTCAATATTGGTTCCATCGAGATACAAACAATTATATTAATTATACAACTAATTGAGCATAATGTAAATTTTTGTGTACATATTTTGTATAGGCCGCTTAACACGTCGATTAATACATTTATAAATTAATTAGTAAACTCATGTTTTTAAAACACATTTATGTGAGAATTGGAGAAGGTTGAAAGAAACGATTTTCTTTTTCTATATTGACTTTTTGTAGATTCAACGCTACATTTGATCGTATTGAATGATGTTAACATACACGAAGTACCTTGTTTCAATAAGCATAATTTAGTACCAAGTACTTCATTAATACTATTCGACTTTATGCCCGAGTTACAGACGTTTTTGTATTTCCATGTTTTTTTTGTACAAACTGTGTTAACATAACTAATTTTTTAAAGTTATTTATAATCAACACAAAATAAGTATAATAAATAAATAAATAAATATTTAAGTTCTATCTTAGGATTATTTAAAAACAAAAGACTTTTGTGAAGATTAAACACAAAAACGCTTGTAATTTGGAAACAATGTCAGATAGGATGTTGACTTCTCAAATCGTGTTTATATGAACCTTTTAAATTATTTTGGTACATTCAATTCATCCTTGTAGTTACGTTAAATTCTTTTAATCAATCAGGTTTCCCAAAGATACAAATAAAGTTGAATTTCAAAAGTCAAATCAAGTTTTTACAAATATTGATATGATCGAGATTTTATTTGCAAGTGTGAATGTCTATACTCTTAACACAAGTTTTACATTCTACGAAGCAACACCAATGAAATTTGCACTCGCATCTTTCTCGGATAGTTGATTTCTGTGTGTTGTAACCCCTACCACAACAAAGGAGATTACATCCGTCCATACCAGATGATGTTCTGTTGCAAATTCTGCCGTGTGTACCTAATAAATATTAGTTTCCATTTTAATAATCGAATACGTCCCATGTAATCATAGAACCAATAGATTGGTGTTCTCGTACAACTTTTAATTTGCTTTATTTTCCAATTCTTTAAAATAAGCAGTACTTTACAATTTATGTATATCAATTCTTTTCTTTTGTGTTTCTTAGCCTCTGTAAGAATGTAAATTTGTTACCTAGTGATCCGAATGTTTCATTAGGAAGACAATAGTTTGGAGACTCGTCCAAATAAACGAGATCATTCGCTGTGGGTAAAGAAAATCTTGGATCTCGCATAGAAAGACGCCCACGCCTATTTACCCTGACCTCTGTTGCCCCATCGTATTTATCTAATAGAAAATCACCTGTAAATATAATTACATAATTAGTAGCTTCATTATGTATACCAGAATTCGTTGATCACATTTCATTATAATATTACGTTCTGTAATGCTTAATAGTGCGATGTGTTTTAAAACAATCTCCATTGATATTTTCTTAACAATTTTCAAAACAATATGTATTTATTTGAAAAGGAAAATCGTACCAATTTCTCGAAATGATGCCAGTTGTTGCCAACAAGTAATCAAACTGCAACTTCCGGAAACCCCGTGGCACTTGCAAGTTACCTTAGATCTTTTAATGACAGCCTGTAAAGAAAGTATTAATGATTTTTATATATTCCGTGCCCTCGTTTGTTCACTCTTTTCTTTGTCATTACAAAAACATAATTTGTTTTTTTTGTTTTAAAGAGTAAACTGTACCCTGCGACCAGCTTCGTTATTATGAAGATTCATCAGACTTCTGCCTTGCTCTCTGCTACCCCTTTTAAAGCTGCGTTCCCGTTCTCTAACGTCGACGAATGCTTGGGTAAATCTGTAACAATTGAAGAAGTTAATTTATCATGTATGTTTAACAAAAGAATTCTTTAATATTAAATTAAACGTAGACGATATACGGTATTTGAATGTGAACGACGAGTATGTCTGTGCAGAAGAGGATCATGTTACTGTTTGTTATATTAAAACAGAGTGAATGAAAATCGTCTTCTGCAGATACAAATCGAATCAGCGAAAATGTGTGATTATTTTTTGTACGAAAATGAGAGCACTTACTTGTATCCGTACTCGAGGTTGTCGCCACAGCCTCCCCAAATCCAATGTCGATCTAGATCTCTAGGTCTGCTGCTTCTGGAACAGCCACAGGAAGATAACTGGCCGTCCCTGCAGGATCTGCTGATCGAATAAACTACCCCTGCAGCTGTGATAGCATGAACGAACGCAGTTTCCCTGCTAGCTACGAAAAAGAGAAGAATTATTCATTCGACAAATAATTGTGTCAGAAATTTATTGTATTTTTAATTATATTTTTTCAGATACGTGCCACTTGTCGAATGTTTGTGTTTTCAATTTGATTTACGTAACTTGTATCTAATACTGTAGCATCTTTCAATGTGTCCAATAATTTGTTTGCAATATAAACAATTCGTCCCAGTTTTTTTTACATTAAATGTTTACTAACTTTGAATCAAGCTAAATAAAAGAAATTATTTATAGATTTCCCCTGAGCGATGAATGATCGAGGACTGGGCATATGTTTATAACGGAGCATCGATAACGAGCAACGAGTGATTCTGAGAATGCACGATTTGTCTGTGTGTGTCCGGATGTGTGATGTCTTATGTGATCTTTGAGAGGATGATAGGATTAATAAACGAAACAGAATTCTTTCATGTACAATTTTGTACGTGAATCGTTGGAGGGTAAGTAAAACTTAAGAGAAAGAATGTTAAAAATTGATATGAATGTGTACTGTTGATCTGCTCAAAGATGGTGAATTATCACAACGTGAAATTGCAAAAAAATTTTAATGGGAGGTTCTAGATGCCAAAATAAGACGAAAATCAAGGATACTAATTTGTTGTTTGAGGCTTCGTTCAAAAGTTATAGAAACATTTCCCGCCACACGGTATATTTTCGGTAAAGAATTTTTTTCTCGAAAGTGCGTAGGATTTCGGGGGTATGTGTATTGACCAAAAATTATTCTAATTGACCCCCACAACCGAAAATAATTTTTCCAAAACGATTTGAAATTTTTGAATTTTGTCGAAAAATTTCATTCCTTCTCGAATTTTTTTCTCGAAAACGCGTAGGAATTCGAGAGTATATCTATTCACCAAAAATGATTGTAATTAGCTCTCCTAGCTAAAAATATTTTTTTCAGAACGATTTGAAATTTTTTAATTTTGTCGCAAAATTTCATTCCTTCTCGAATTTTTTTCTCGAAAGTGGGTAGGATTTCGGGGGTAGGTCTATTCACCAAAAATTATTCTAATTGACGTCTGCAACTAAAAATAATTTTTTTATAACGATTTGAAAATTTTTAATTTTGTCGAAAAATTTAACTTCTTCTCGAATTTTTTTCTCGAAAACGCGTAAGATTTCGAGGGTATGTCTATTCATAAAAAATGATTGTAATTAACTGTTCTAGCAAAAAATATTTTTTTTAGAACGATTTGAAATTTTTTTTTTTCGCCGAAAAATTTGACCACTTACTGAATTTTTTTCTCGAAAGTGGGTAGGATTTCGAGGGTATGTCTAATTACCAAAAATGCTTGTAATTGACCCCTGTAACTAAATATAATTTTTTTTAGAATGATTTAAAATTTTTTAATAACTTTTTAATGAAGCCTCTGTCAACAAATTTATATTCTTGATTTTCGTCTTATTTTGGCATCTAGAATCTCCCATTAAAATTTTTTCCAATGGTGACCAAACACCCTATTTTTCTTCAAATACCTTTTCACCCTGTTTTTATTCAAATAAAAGCTCATTTAAATAAAACAATTTTTAGAAGTGGCTTACCTAATCTGAGCATAGGTCCAAACACGGACTCGTCATGAACGGTGGAACAATTCCACCTTCGGTCGCGGAATTGGTGCTGGCACTCGACAATCCCAAACTTAGCGCCTCTTGCCACACTTGGCATGTGATCCACGGAAAGTTGACATAGTTTCCCTTGGCCCTGCGAGAGACCCTTCAGCCCGTGGCAAATACTAGACGCCGCCACGTCGTAGGTTTCTATCATTTGCGTAGACTCGAGTTGCGGGAAATGTTGCAAACCGACGTTTCTGGTAACCACGAAGTTAACATCAGACGAATGTAACCATTAATCATTCTTAAATAACCAGCACAATACGCAGACAGTTTTGCTGTAGTCAAATTAACGCTTGATTACACCTTATCAGACTTACACTTCTAAATAATTAACACATTACCGACCGATAGCCTATTAATCGACTTTTTTACCGACCAACGCTTACCGACCGATAGCGTATTAATCAACCGCTACCGGTCGGTAAAGTGTTAAACAAACTTTCTTTTTTGTTTTTTGAATTTTTATTTGGTTCTGATTTATTAGAAAAAAGGTAGCTAAAGGCTACAATATATTCAAATATCATCATTGAAAATAGTATTTCGAAAAGTGTTCTTCGCGTGGAATAACCCCGGGTAGAACGAAGGTAGAAGGTAATGGTCAATTCATTCGATCATTGTGGTGGGACTACCTAGACGTTGCCCGGCCTTCGTCGAGATTTAGCTCTGCGACAATGCGTCGCGACAATGAGTCCGATTGTGTACCAGTCTGCATCAAGAAACATGTGGCCAGGTTTACGCAGTGTCAGATTCATTGAATTAACACTTTGCTGGCGGGAGGGTTTAATTTAAAGTCGCATGCCCAAAGTGGCTTGTATTTATAGTAGAGCTCGTTTCACGTGTATTTTAGGTACACGGAAGTCTGGGGAATAATTCTTGAAAACATCGTGGAATCGACAAAACTTCTCAGCAACACTCGCCCTCATAGTAGCAACATTCTGAGACTACATCGACGCGTTGAATAACAAATATGGCGATCATAACGATTGAAAGTTTAATCGCCTTTATTGGAGAACCTTACACAAGATTACGAAGCGAATATCAATCGAATAAAATAATTGATTTCAACGCAGTGTCATTTAACACTTTACCGACCGGTAAAAAAGTTGATTAATACGCTATCGGTCGGTAAGCGTTGGCCGGTAAAAAAGTCGATTAATAGGCTATCGGTCGGTAATAGTGATCAGAGAAAAGTCTTGGAACGCAAAAGGATAAATATTGCGTGCCCATTCTTTACCGAACTACCAACGCAAACGCAGCACAATTTCTACAAATTTGTTACGGCGATTATACGAATTCGGAGCAGGAAAGCAGCGAGCGAGGAACGGGTTTTTGCGGCAACTTTTAATGGCACATTTGTGAGTCAACCGAGTGAGATGATGGAACGCTGCCGTCACAAACAAGAGTCAGGGGAAGTCTAACGGGGCTACCAATCTGAAAGCCGAAACGGCTGCGCGTATACGTTTCAGATACGATACGGGTACACTTGAATGCGCTAATGTCGCCAATCAGGCACACGAAACGCATTCTAGCGACCTTTGTGCGGATACGAACGACTACCATGCGTGGGAAACAATGAAGAAGAGAGATTTACCGTACGGTTGGAAAATGGTAACTTTTCAATACTTCTTTCGACTTTGAAAACAAACAGAAGAAAAGTGCACTGTCGTTAAATGGATAAATCAAGTGATTGCACGTAGAATCGATGAATCACAATATCTATAAATCTTGGATCTACCATATTAATTGCATTTGGTACCATTCGGTTACCATTTATACCATTCTTTTAAAATGCGTTAAATCGACGCTGAAGAGGATATTAAATTGTTCTTTCCCCCGAAGAAAATAACAACGCGGAATTATGAAGTTGATAGAAATGATAAATAAATTGCAATCTTCTTCATCGTAACTAAAATGTCCTGTAGCGTATGAGATCGTGGTAGGGAGTACATAATAAACAGCATTAATATTCCGAAACACGTTTCGACTGTGATATATCATCAGCTTTGCACTCCCCTAAAACAATGACGCCGGGAATCGCAGGGAAGGGAACGATAATATTTCGAAGGATCCTGCCCACACAAATTCGTGGGGCATCAGGCGCTGCGCCGTCCCAAAAAGTAATGCCTCGTGTCTCTTAAAAGATTGTAGCAACAATCGCGTGGCCCCATGTACCGGATGTCCTAAATTAAATCCTATATTCCATAGCTGAAGGAACTTTATTAGCTACAACCTCCAGAAGGAAACTTCTACACAGATGCATCAGATGTATTAAATTTATTTGAATATTTAGATTCAAAATACAGTTAAAATCAGATACCTTGACTCTTGTAACCAAAACAAAGAAATGTTATAGGATGACAATATTCAAGAATTATTCTATGGCATCCATATTATCTTTGGATCTTGTACCAAGCTATTACCACCTATTTCGAACGTTGCAATGTTTTTTAATTGGCAAGAAGGTGACCAAATACCCTGACTCTTGTAACCAAAACAAAGAAATGTTATAGGATGACAATATTCAACAATATATCTTTGGATCTTGTACCAAGCTATTACCACCTATTTCCAACATTGCAATGTTTTTTAATTGGCAAGAAGGTGACCAAATACCCTGACTCTTGTAACCAAAACAAAGAAATGTTATAGGATGACAATATTCAACAATTATTCTATTGTACCCATATATCTTTGGATCTTGTACCAAGCTATTACCACCTATTTCGAACGTTGCAATGTTTTTTAATTGGCAAGAAGGTGACCAAATACCCTGACTCTTGTAACCAAAACAAAGAAATGTTATAGGATGACAATATTCAACAATTATTCTATGGCATCCATATTATCTTTGGATCTTACACCAAGCTATTACCACCTATTTCGAACGTTGCAATGTTTTTTAATTGGCAAGAAGGTGACCAAATACCCTGACTCTTGTAACCAAAACAAAGAAATGTTACAGGATGACAATATTCAACAATATATCTTTGGATCTTACACCAAGCTATTACCACCTATTTCCAACGTTGGAACGTCTTTTAATTGACAAGGTGACCAATAACGAGCATGTTGAGTCTTCGAAATTTGTCGAAGATGGAATGAAGAAGAAGATAATATTTGGGGCTACCGCTGGACGAAACGACTCGTAACGACAAATTGAAGGAAATTTTAAGAAATACACCGCAGAACGGGATTTAAATCGAAGTTAAAATCTGTGGAGATCTCGTAGAATGTAAGAGACACGTCTACGGGCTGCGCCGCCGCTTTCTTTTCACGTGGGCTGAGAAAAATGTCTCGACGCCACCCTTTAATCTGGCCATTTCGATATCGCGGCAATTTACGTTGAAATAATGCCTGGGAGAGCGGCGCGGCGTGAATCAATTCATTTCTGGACACGAACGCGCACTACAATGTGTCCGGAATCTAATCTGGATGTTGGCTCTTAGTCGTGACTTAAGGGATTGTTACGTTGATACCAGAGAGTAGATTAGCGAGAATAATGCACGCTTATATTGGTCGGATCATTTTATCGTGTGTAGACCTTTGTACCAGCTGTGTTACATCATTATTATGCGGACGCGTACACCGTAATTAATTTGTTTCTCTTGTATATTAAATTACACTCCTCGATAAGAAAGTACTATGTACACTGCTGTTCAAAAGTCTTGCAAGGGTCTTACATTTCCTTAAAATGTTTTAAAAAGAAAATTATGAATTTTTCTTTTTTAGATTCCAATATTTTCATTAGAAGACAACTTCTAAAATGCTGAAAGAGCTTTTGAGATACATTTAACTAGTAAATATTATTGTGGAATGAAAGGAAGAGAAGAAAATACTTTGAGAAAGTAACAGACCCAACCCAGACCGCACGCCAAGGCACAACGATTCTAATCTAATTAAACCGCGATATGGAGGGAATTAAAACGAAGACATATAATCTCTCGAGGTCTGAACGTAAGCCCAAGTAAGAAGGATTAACATACATATTATGGAGATTCTCTGATTGCGAGTCCCGCCCATATGATTAGGCATTCACCTGACTAGAAATGCTTAGAGAAGAGATTATAAAACGAAGAAAGTTTCACTGACCCGATCGATCAATAACAATTGTCATCTGCGAATATTTAAACGTCCATTGAAAAGGAAGATGGGAAAACCTGATAATCTTTGGAAACGTCGAAGCAAATGCTTGGAACGACTTTACCCCGACGAGAATGCGTAGCGTGATTTTCAAAGCGTTTCGACTACCGACGAAAATGAGATTTTCTCGAAAATCCAGTTACAAAGTCGACCATGAAGATCCTGTCCGCCGCGATGGAAATTCCACGCGAAGAAAAACTGTAGCGATCCCGGGACCATTCAGCGATTGGTCACGGACGTGTAAGGGTGTAACGGAAGGGCGAGAAGGGCAATTCAGGGATTAGACACACCGTTGCCAGGGGTACGTTGGGGAAATTAGACAGGCCATTTCGAAAAATTCTTCGATCGGGTTCCCACGACGCGTTCTCGTCGCATCGCGGACAAAGAACTATAAATTATAACAGTTGCGCGAGCAATTTTTGTCAGATTTCTATGGGCGTAGCGAACCGTATCCTTTCTCTTCATATTAATTTATCGATTACGTCGCCACAACCTCCGATTTGTCTCTCCGGAGATCGTGCGAAGTAATCGGATAATTTCTATGGAGGGGGGGAGTACAAATTTCACGCAATATTATTCCTCATCCCTTTCCCAACGTTTTACAGGGAATTATCTTCGTCCAAAAATTCTGAAAGAAAGCCGTGACCAAAATAATGACCGTAATTCACGGACCGGTTCTATATTTCTCTCAATGACCCGTAACCAAAATGAAAGATGGGAGAAATTCGGACAGAAACAGGCTGAAAGTCTAAGACAACCATACTCGATCTCTTTGTTTTTCTTGGATCACATTTCCATACAATGATGAGCAAAATTGATGATAGAGAGTAGAAAGAAATTTATTGTTAATCAATCTGTAAAATGTTATCTCTTCATCCTTTTTATTTCTAATCTATTTCAGAAGCTAAATAACTGTACAAGAATTTGCAAATAGCTACTTTGTTTATTAAATTTAGTCAGTAAGTGTAGTTAAAATAGTGGAGATAGATCGTTGATCAGGAGGAGCAAAATTGATGATAGAGAGTAGAAAGAAACTTATTGTTAATCAATCTGTAAAATGTTATCTCTCCATCCTTTTTATTTCTAATCTATTTCAGAAGCTAAATAACTGTACAAGAATTTGCAAATAGCTACTTTGTTTATTAAATTTAGTCAGTAAGTGTAGTTAAAATAGTGGAGATAGATCGTTGATCAGGAGGAGCAAAATTGATGATAGAGAGTAGAAAGAAACTTATTGTTAATCAATCTGTAAAATGTTATCTCTTCATCCTTTTTATTTCTAATCTATTTCAGAAGCTAAATAACTGTACAAGAATTTGCAAATAGCTACTTTGTTTATTAAATTTAGTCAGTAAGTGTAGTTAAAATAGTGGAGATAGATCGTTGATCAGGAGGAGCAAAATTGATGATAGAGAGTAGAAAGAAACTTATTGTTAATCAATCTGTAAAATGTTATCTCTTCATCCTTTTTATTTCTAATCTATTTCAGAAGCTAAATAACTGTACAAGAATTTGCAAATAGCTACTTTGTTTATTAAATTTAGTCAGTAAGTGTAGTTAAAATAGTGGAGATAGATCGTTGATCAGGAGGAGCAAAATTGATGATAGAGAGTAGAAAGAAATTTATTGTTAATCAATCTGTAAAATGTTATCTCTTCATCCTTTTTATTTCTAATCTATTTCAGAAGATAAATAACTGTACAAGAATTTGCAAATAGCTACTTTGTTTATTAAATTTAGTCAGTAAGTGTAGTTAAAATAGTGGAGATAGATCGTTGATCAGGAGGAGCAAAATTGATGATAGAGAGTAGAAAGAAACTTATTGTTAATCAATCTGTAAAATGTTATCTCTTCATCCTTTTTATTTCTAATCTATTTCAGAAGCTAAATAACTGTACAAGAATTTGCAAATAGCTACTTTGTTTATTAAATTTAGTCAGTAAGTGTAGTTAAAATAGTGGAGATAGATCGTTGATCAGGAGGAGCAAAATTGATGATAGAGAGTAGAAAGAAATTTATTGTTAATCAATCTGTAAAATGTTATCTCTTCATCCTTTTTATTTCTAATCTATTTCAGAAGATAAATAACTGTACAAGAATTTGCAAATAGCTACTTTGTTTATTAAATTTAGTCAGTAAGTGTAGTTAAAACAGTGGAGATAGATCGTTGATCAGGAGTTGAGCACCATAGGGATTTAATTGTCAGTAAAGGAACTCGAAAATGTATAATTATAGTCTTTGACAAAAGAGCATGTATTTATTATGAACTTATAAGTCGCCAAAGTTTTAATTCGAGCTCGATACGTTTCAGATTCGGAATTGATGCGAACGTCGGGTTCCCCGACAGTATGTCCATTCCACATCAGTCCTACAAACGTGTTAAATAGACGCGTGTCTGTGTTACAAGATGGCGTACCGACCAATGAGGAAGGCTTTCGAGAGTTATCGCTTATCCGCGCGTCTCGCCAAGGCGGAGTGAATGATTCCGACCATTGGGACTCGTATTCCTGTTAGGGCTCATCTTCTGGTCGACAACCTTGATTTAGAAATCGTGACAGTTACAGAGACACCACCGGAATTTAGTCGATAAATTCAACATAGAACGTTTCCCTTTCAGACACTAACGGTTCTAATAAAAGTGTACTCACATCCATGTCCCCGGTACCGTCGACGCTGCATCGATGAGTAATAATTGCAAGATGGCAAGCAACGTGCTGAAAATCGCCATTTTTATCTAAAACGTAATTTCATTATAAGTACTGGTTAATACATCGCCGAGTTACTTATTAATAAACCTATTGTTCAAATTGAAAGTTAATTTTAGGGTAAAACGGGGTAATTCCGGCTGCCCAAGCAAGAAATGCTATAATATTTCAGAAAGTTAGACATTTGTTAGTTCTTTCTTTTTTAGAGCAGTCAGATTAGTTAGATCAATGGTTCGCGGACCCAAAAAGAGCCATAGCTAGATAGAGGTCCGTGGAAACCAATGATTAAGAGTTACATCCATTGTTTATCGATTCTTTTAATTAATACAATTTGTATAAGGTATTAAAAGCTTTGTATATTTACAAAGTTTCGGTTAAACTAACAAACTAACAAACTAACAGACTAGGGTAATTCGGATTTTAGGGTTAAATGGGGTAATTCCGGCTGTCCAAGCAAGAAATGCTATAACATTTGAGAAAGTTAGGCATTTGTTAGTTTTTTCTTTTTTAGAGCAGTCAGATTAGATCAATGGTTCTTAGCCAATGATCCAAGGACCCAAAAAGAGCCATAGCTAGATAGAGGTCCGTAGAAACCAATGATTAAGAATTACATCCATTGTTTATCGATTCTTTTAATTAATACAATTTGTATAAGGTATTAAAAGCTTTGTATGTTTACAAAGTTTCACTTAAATCGAAGTTTTCACTCTGTTTGTGAGTGGTAATATTAAGTCTCACCCGGTATGTACATGACTAGTATGTGAGCACACGTAAGGTACATGTATACCAGTTCTGTGGGCAGTAAGCACGCTGAAGACTCTGCTCGAAACGAAAGACACCTAAGTCAGACGATTATGGTACATCGATTCGACATTACACCTTGCTCGCTCCTGAAGCTCTCGGAGCTGCGAAACTGGTTAATAGAAACTATGAACCTGACTTACGAGATGCAAAATCTATAACTTTTCGTTGCGTTGATAAGTCTAACATAGGATAGTTTGGGACAAATAAATAATTAATCAGTGTATCGAAAAGGTTTGGCTCCGATTATGGTACATTGATTCTTAGATTACATCTTGCTCGAACACGCTTGGTTGCTTTCAGGTTTTCCGCTGCAACTGGTTAATATATCTCCCAGAGCGAAGCAACGAAGTCGTAAATTTTGTAACTTTTAATCCTGTCTCGTAATTTCAGCCAGCTGGCCACGTCGTAGATTAAACGTGATTGCAAACGAATCAATCAGTCATCGATGCAAGAAATTAGAAAGTAACGTTAATTGCTCGGTATGGCACAATTATAGGATCAGTTTAAAATTTATTTTGAAAAATCTTGTGGGAAATATTCTTTATAAAAAAAAACATTTCTCTAGTCTTTAAGACCAACTGAAACTTTCTAGCATTTTTAGGGACTTCTATAGAGTAATACAGTCATCAAAAACTACTTTGACAATAAAATAATTACCATTACTGTTTCTGTTTTCAGGTGTTCGTTGAAATTGAAATGTTTATTACATAAAGGATTAGAAGAGGACGTAAACAAGTAGTCCTACGGGGTTCCTCTGTTCGAATGTTGGATACAGATCTGAAACACCATGTATATCCGCGTTTATCTAGCCCACGCGATGGGGCAGAATATTAGCCGGTATATAAAATGCATTTGTGATCACGACAGGAATGTAAATGGCGTACTTCAGCACGTCTCTCGCAGGGCTGGCCTCGAATTATCAGCAATAAAGTATCTCGCTAGCGTGTTGAACAAGACATGACCGGCGGTAGTGCAAGCACCGCTACATTTGTTGCTGAATGAGCTGGTCGAGCTGCGACGCTGATCGTTGATCCTGCGCAGCTGGATGATAGCATGGCTATAATGATCGTAAAAGATCGTTGGTCTAATATTAAAGGCACACACGATGTTATTCAGTGACTAGAGCTCGATAGAAACAAAAAGAAACCTGTTTCAGGGAAACTCAGCTACAATTACGCGCGATTTTCAGGATCACCAAGTAACATAGTGTTCTCAGGCATTTAAAACCGCCCCCAATTACTATGCATTCCTCGATAAAATTCATCAATTAACATCTCATCCGGTATAATCGAAGAAAAATTAAAAGAAATCGGACACACTATTTCGTGCTGAATGTAATCTGATTGCTGTTAGATGTAATCATAGAGTAATTACCGGTCTAATTACATGTAATTTTGTCGTGACAAATTTAATCAGATTACATTCTGCCCAACTCTGTTTCTTTATCGGGTTTAAATCAGACGAATTCATATAGTACTTAAGTTTCGTTTATTAAATATTACAAGTTGAAACATAAAACGATTAATTGATGATCGATGATAATGTCGCGAGGAACAGTTTTGTAATTGTAAACTTCTGTTTAAATTTTCTGATTATCGTTTAATCGAATGAAAAAAGTAAACGTAAACGGGAGCTTGGACGAATTATCTTTGCAGCGCAATTTATTACGAACGAAGAGGCCATAAAATTAACGTAAAAAGTTAAACATAATTTCATTACTTTATTACTCGTGTTGGCCGTATAAAGAGGCGCAAAAGTAGTCTGCCGCCACCTGACCAGGAAACATTATCGTAACTTTACTGCCGATAAACCTACTGAAATTCTGCGATACACCTTTGCTGGCTACGGACTCTCGGAGCAGAGAGGAAAGTCAGGAATTGATACAAGCGGACGGGGCAACGTTAACATCGCGATTTAATCCCTGTTAGAGACATAATTACGCACGCGTCTCAGAAATACAAAGTTTTATTCGAGGAAAAATGTAGTAGTCGTTGGGGCTCGCAATTAGACGCAATTATAATCTTTTGGAAGGAGTAAAATCTGCGAAATGTTGTCGGAATATTACGAAGTCTTTTCACTAAAAAAATTTCTTCGTACAAGTTGTCTTTTACTACGAAAAAAAAAATTGTAAACATTTTAACACTTTACCGACCGATAGCCTATTAATCGACTGTTTTACCGGCTAACGCTTACCGACTGATTAATCAACTGTTTTACCGGCTAACGCTTACCGACTGATAGCCTATTAATTAACTGTTTTATCGGTCGGTAAAGTGTTAATACGATTAGGCGGACGTGTCTGTCCATAACTTGTTAGTTCTACTTAAGACGATGCTTGTAACACTTTGCTTCACAGTTGAGAATTATACGAAGTATAGTAAACGCTGAGTAGAAGAATTGTAGCAAAGAAAGATGATTTTGGCCAAAAATTGTCGTGTTTTATGCATTGAATCAACCTGTCAGGTCCTGATTTTCACGAGGAGCAGCAGGACAACGACTCGAGTCCTTTTAACGAAGCTGTCCGGCTAGAGTCACGCACACACACACACACACATGAGAAAACGGGAGCGAGTCTACGAGGCTAACAGAGTGAAGAGAAGAGAAAGGAGTGCATGTGGAGGACTTTCGATGGGAGACAGAAGAAAGAAAAAGGAAAAGAGGAACGGAGAAATGAAAAGGTAAATGGAGAGTCCGGAGAGAATTTGAATAATCGGGGAATGGTGGGACGGAGAGCCACGGAGACAAAGTGAAGGCGGAGTCGAAGACAAAAGTAGTGAAAGGAGCAGAAGACGCAACAAAAGTCGAGAGCAAATTAAGGAGGAGTTAGGACGAAGCTGGTCAAAATGAAAAGTAAATTAATAAAGAAAAATTAAGAGTCCTTCGTGATAGTTTCGACTAGAACTTTTATATAACGGTTTGAAATCATTCTTTTCAGGTAACTTGCGACCATCAGTGTTAAATTGCATTACGCGACAGATCTATGGCCATCTGTCTCCGTGTTTGGTCGCTGAAATCTTGCTTTTAATGCCTGCCGACAGCTAGACGGCAAGAATGCAACGGTAGACCAACTACTATGATGCCATAACAGATTTTGCCACCAATCTGCCACCTATCAACACACGGATCACTTGCCATCGCAATTCCGCCACGACGTTATGTCATTTCATGTTTTTATCTGCCATAACAATCTTCCGCGTTGAATTTTCTATTATTTTATTAAACAGGCATTCAAAATGATGCCTTGACTATTAGGGTCTGTTCTAAAAATCATTTCACGCTATGTTTCACGCTATCTAGTAAAACCCATATTTCCATGGCGAAACGTTTAAACAAAACTTGTTAAAACTTTGACCAAAGCATAAGGTAAACTTTTAAACAATTTCCAAATGATCTGCAACTGCGTCACATTCACCCAGATGCTCTTTCATTATGAACTCGATAAGCCAGGCAACCGCATGTACGCGCATTTTAAACATGCATCGCATTTACTACAGCACTAAACGTTACCTGTTGGATGATACGGGTATTATAGGATTTCAGTAGGTTTATCGGCGGTAAAGTTATGATATTCCCAGTCCGGTGGCGGCAAACTGCTTTTGCACTTCGTTACAAGCAGAGGTGTTGTGTGGAGAGATGGTAAAACGATAGGGAGAACTGGATACTGAAGGAATAAAATTCTTTTAATTGCGGCACTAGTGGCCATTAAATTAAAGACGAAAATATTTGATAGTGAACCCTAAGTATCCCTTATCTCAAAGAAGAACGAGTACTATGTTTTGTACCGTGTACAATTATGAAAATTTGTTGTGAATTTTATTTAGATTGCTTCTTTTCAATAAGATATTTGTCTATTCTATTACGTGCAAAATTAACTGTTCCAATAGGTATAGCGGAAGGAAATAGAGAAACAAACATTGCAAATGCACAAAAGAGGTGTGCAAGAAGACGATGATAAGCTGAAACGTGTAACGAGGTCCGACGATGAAGCTAAAGTGTGCGAGGAAGTCTGACGACACGACCCAGCAACAGAACGAGCAACGCGGAGACGATGGACGAGGACGAGGAGCGACGAAGAAGCTGCAGCAGGTTCGCAGATCTGAGCACACTCGTGATTACCGTCAGCGACGAGGTGGTTTCTATTTGTTGGCCAAACGATAATTACGTTTCTTTATGTTTAAAACTTTAATCAGCAATGTATTTTCCAGGAACAATTTGATGC